CGGTGAACGGCTGTAGGAGACATGTGAGGGTTCGCTCGTTCGATCGATGCCACTACTACCCCCCAAAAAGGGGCCCTAACATAAAGAGAAACAGAGAGAGAGATAGAAAGGTGGAGAATAGGCACAGGGCCGTAATTTCGATATAACTGTAAAATATTTTTTTGGCAACAATAAGAACTTCTTTTAAATCAAACGAATTTAATCAACAAATTATTTTTTTTAATTAATTAAAATGTTGTTTAGATTTATTGTGTTTAACTCTTAAAATAATAAATTATTATGTATTCCTTTTTTTTTGTGTTAATTTATTGTAATATCTATAAAGATTTTACGTTTAATACGGCTCTGTAAAGGGTATCGAGTTCACTCCCCGGGGAAAGCGGCGACGTCGCACAGGAAACGAAAGCGTCGCGACGCCCCCGTTTTGTCGCCACACTCTCTCCCCTTTCCCCCTTAATTGCGAAAATCGTGTTTGCACCCTCGTCCACGCTTTGTTCCAAAACTCCCGAAATCATCCCCCCCTCATCGTTTACCCTCTTTCTTCTCTCCATCCCCAAACCAAAACACAAACGTTTATGTTTATTAAACAGTGGAGTATTTGTTCCTCATTAAAACTAATTTAATAAGTCTAAACATTTTTTTTTAATTTTTGAGTATTTTATGTTTTGTGTTCTTAGAATTTTCGAAGGTTAATAGATGATAATTCTAGGAAGAGTTAAAATAGTTTCAAACTAAAACCGTGTCTAAAAAGGGTTTTTAGAAATTGACAACCAAGGTTGTTTAAAACTATTTAAAATAATCCAAAAACTTTTTAAGGAAGAAAAAGAACCATTTTGAAAGTGGTTTATTTAAATAAAACTTTGTGGCAGATGTTAAATTTTAACTCGTTCGAGTTACCCCGTAAAAAAGAAAGAAGAGATTCAAAAAAAATCCACCCATTCATCAGGGGTTGGACCCAAATCGGCGTTACCAGCGCGTTAAGCGTTGATTCGCTAGAGATGTGTTTAGGGATCGTCGTATTATTACCATGGGATAATAGCCCATCTGGTTACTGTCTGTGAAAAAAAATCCTCCCGGGAGCTTTATTTATCCCCTTCATCCCTTATGAATAATACCTGTGCATGTGATACAAAAAGGTATCATCATCAATTATTAGATCAGTTAATGTATCATAATGTTAGATTTAAAATTTTGCCAAAATTCGCAGAAAAATTAAGAGTTCTTGTCAGAAAAATTATTAAGCAGACTTATCAGCAGACATACTACAATTTTATAAATAAGTCGTTAAAATTATGGAACGTTGCGTAACCTTGACTGACATGCAGATAAGTAATTCTTTACAGCTTTCCGAAGACGATGCGCACTCAGCTTTTACAGTATTATCCTTGAATACACTTTATTGAACGATTTTGTGCTACTTACATTTCAACAAATAAATTCATTTGATGATAATATCCCTTTTAGAAAAATTAATTCTACATAAATGTCAACCTAAGTTGGATGTCTGTTCATAATTTGCCAACAACCTTATTGTCAAATTCATGAAATGTATTTGCTAGAAAATTTGATCTTATTGAGGTTGCTAAGTTTTGTATCAGGTCATCATAAGGTAAAGGTCCAGACACAGCATACAGGTCAATACAACAACCCGGCAAGCTTAGAACTTGGATTGTCAACTTTTCTTACAACTTTAATCCTATCATTAATGAGTACAAAGTATTACTCATTCTAATTATTTCAATTTATAGATTACAAACACGTAATAGCAATTCCAATAGCCATTATTTATTTATAACGATAGTCTCTAAGGATGCATACAAAATTTTGTTATTAATTGCATTAATATTCGTATCTACAACAAATAGATAGAACCAGTACACAGATTCCAGTATGTCGATTGCTGGATAACAAACGATCTTGACCACGAGGTTGAAGTGCGAGCTCGTATAGAATTCCACCTTGTCACTGGTCAATTCCACATTCAGTCTTGTTATACGGAGTGAAAGTATGGACTGTTGGAATTAATGGAATGAGGCGAATAGAAGCTTTTTCCGAAGAATGCTGAAGATCTCTTGGACGGAGCACGTCACCAATAATGGGAATTGACAGGGAACTCTTAAATATGGTAAAAACACGGAAAATAGGTTATCTAGAGCATATTTATAATGGGAAAAAGTACAACTTTCTACGACCCATACTGAAAGCTCTCGTGGTTGAAGAATGTAAGGGGTTGGACAGGCATGGACCGATTCATTATTAGCAACAGCACAAAACAGAAAATAATTTTTTTGTTACGTTACTCGACGTAATAATAATGTACACAAAAATAAGTTAACTCTTTAATAATGCAGATTACAGTGTGTTTTGGTCTCGTTCGAGTCGTGCTACATGGTCTACCATAAAATAGTCACTTGGATCATTTACTATTTTACCTTCAATTAAGGCCTTTTTTTTAGTATCCAACTCACGCTGTTTGATATACGTCGATGACTGAAAAATCCTTGTTCGCAATATGTGCGCTTGATGCGTTTTACAAGTCGACCTTTACCCGGTTAGCAAAATTTGTAATGATCATCGTTTAATTTTAGATTTGCTTATTATGTTCACTAAATATGTTTTTTTGATAAACACGTTGATGTATACGTAACTAGAGTATGGTGACGATGCTGTTATGGCATCTTAATCTTGAACAAGCTGACCAATGCTTGTTCTTGCCTGCTTCAGTATGATTTTTTATTTTATGCATTCACACCATGGGCAATTGCGTGTAGAAATTTGCACAACTCAACTTAACCCATCATAACATCATCAATGCTGATTTTTGTGTTATTCTGTGCTTAAATTTCATGAAAATAAAGATACAAGTGCGCCATCTATTAGTTAAATCACTTTCTACTATCAGTGAAATTGTACTTCAATATAAAAACCGTAATATTAGTGTATAGGACTAATGTCCTCCTAATTGTGACGTCACGATCATGTCGACAGACTTCTTCATGTCGGTAATGTTGTATTCATGGTCAATTCTTTGCTTGAGAACTAAGTCAGCCAGCATTGAGTCATAGGAGTCTGCAGCAATTACTCAGATAAAGGTAACTTGAAACCAAAGAAACTTTATAATCCATGTATATCTACGCTGGTTATGTGCCGTAATTTAACATGCCAGTGCAGCAATAAGCAAAATTCTTTACTATTTAAAGTAAAGTTAAAATATCCAGCTTATTTTGACTTAACTTTGAATTTTTAAGTTGTCATTTTGACATCTTTCTCTCATTACAAATTATAACTTGTCATTTTGACATTTATGTCATTTGAACTTTCCATAAATTTTATCATAACATTGAAACTGTCATTTTGACATAACTTGAATAATATTATGTATCAAATGCAATTTTCTTGTGCAGTAATAAAGAAAGATTTAGAAAATAAAAAAGGAAACAAGAAACCTAGTTAGTAATATAATTTATAGCTTTTTCTTTAGGGTAAAAAAATCAACAACTTTTTAGTGTTGGAGATTATTTCTTAAAAGTGCTACTGAAGTGCCCTGAAGGTAACCACGCCTTCGAGAACCGCCCAAACCTGTAATTAATTTCAACTTCTGAACCGAACAAGAAGAAGAAATCCAAACCGATCCCCGAACCGTGCTGCTGTTAATTGGGCAATTTTTGTTGTCGTTGAAAAATGCCCTTCCCCCGAACAGTACAAGAGGTGGCCTTAAGAAAATAACAAAAAAAAAACGAACATTTTTTATTATGGCAGGTAGAAAAATGAGTTCTTTATGCAAATAAAACGAGATTTTTTTTAAATTTTCAACTTAATCCATAAAAATGAATGAATTGAAAAATTTCATTTAACAATAAACATTTTTGATGATTTTTAACGACCTCTAAGACCAAGATGATTTAAACGACTCGTTTATACAGCAGTAAATAAACATTTAACGATTTGGGGATTCAGCTATGTTTATCGACTGCAAATTTCAATACGAAAATGAAGTAGACGTAAAAACCAATTGGTATTTGCAGGAAGCAAAAAGCTACCTGGTTTTTACGGTTTTTACCCAGATTCCCTGGAAGGACAGAAAACTATCCTAAAGAATTATTGTTGTTTATACCTGGAAAATAACAGTTCTTCATTTAAAACTACCCGGTAGACTCAACTTATTCTTCTTCTGACACCAAAAACCAAGATTTATTAACCCAGTTTCCAGAAAGAACTTAAATGGTTAAAAATTAGAAGCTATTATAAAAAACATTTTCATAGAGAATTTATGTATTTTTTGAAGTATTCATGAAGTATTTTTCAAGAGATCTTCCGGCGGGCAAAAATGTATGTATGAGGGGTTGGGTGTGGTGTGGAAAATCGAGTACAATTTGAAAGAGCACATATGCGAACGAGCTGAATGTCAAAATAGTCGTTACGGTATTGTTAGGGGGATGAAATGGGTCGATTGTCGTCATTGAACGGTTCGAGTGTCGCCAATGAATTTGAAAGTTAAATGTGGCAATTTTTTTGTAGTCCCTTTCCATTGGTACAAGATTATAATAAAAAAATTATGCCTTTATGCATCAACTCAAATATGTAAACACCCGGATGATTTGAAAAAACATTCATACTTTTTTTTTAGAAACTTTTCTAAGAAACATAATTGTTCTATTTTTATAGTAGCCCACTTTTGTCTTATCTTTAAAGTTTAGAAAGTTTTTATGGTCCTATTCTTCTTAAGATAAGGTAAAACCTAAGTTATTGAATACAACGGAAGCTTGCTTTTATTCATTTTCAATGAAATATATTTTGTATTCAATAAAATGTTGGGTTAAGTTGGTTTGGGTAAATTTAAACACATTTATGTTATTCAAAATACAAAAAAAAAGTTGTATAGTCAACATAGATTGAAATGTATGTGCTAAATGATGTATGACTTGGTTTATGGAAACAAAGATATTTTTAGAATCAAGTTTTTTTACATTAAAATAGATTTTAGTAAAATTGAAACTTACCTGTATGTGTTCTTTTATGGATTTTCAAATTTTCACTTCTAGCAAAAACTTTTCCGCAACCAGGAAATGGACAAGGAAACGGCTTCTCACCAGTATGTACCCTAATATGATTAACCAATTTATATTTGGCCTTAAACGGTCGGCCGTCGCGCGAGCAATTCTGCCAAAAACACGCGTGTATCGTACACTCTGGTCCCCCAACATGATCCACGGTTAAATGCGTCACAATCTCGTGCATACTGTTGAAGTGTTTTCCACAGATTTTTCGCGATGATTGTTCTGGATCTACCCAAAGACACTGCATTTCCTGTTTAATTGGTTGTCTCATGTACCGAAAAAAAGCGCCGTGAACGTTTCCGGGATGATGTGCCATACCCATGTGATTTAGATATTGTTGATGGTGTGGTTGTGGATACGTATGATGGGGATCTGTTCGGCCGTAAAGCATTTGATGGTGTGGTGGAAGATGATGTTGATGGGTCATATCGCTATGGTGGTGAAATAAAACGGTATCGCTTGGGGCGGTTTGTGCCGGCGGAAAATCATGGTGATCCCTTCGAAGAAGAAAATCCCTTGCTGCGTAACCTGGATGAGCGCTAAGATGACCCATATGAGTGTAATTCGTTTGGAAATGATGATTTTGTGCCGCTTCCGGTGGCGTCATTGCTGCCGGTTGATGCGTTGGGGGTGGCGGAATTGGGCCGCCCGGATTCGGGCCCGGACTCATCTTCAATCCGTACGTCGACAGATGATGATGGGGGCTTTCTACGAAAGCATTGATCATCTTCGACGAAACGACTAAATAGAAAAAAAAACACCACCCGCACCTCTCTCAATGTACTTATTCTTTCTTATTATCAACACTTCGTCTTATTTTTAGTTTAGTTTTTGTCCTATTTTTAGTGTGCGATAACACTACTACAACAACTCTGGATACAACAAATATTTGACCTGTTCCGGGCGCGTTCACAGCTTGACTGAGCGGGCACAGTAGGCCATGCTTTCGGTTCCGGCAGGAGGGAGACGTTTTCGAAGGGAGCCGATTGGACGTTGTGAGAACCCCCGGGATTGGATGACAGGAGGAGGGCAGGATTTCCATGGGCATCCTGTTGGCTCCCACCGGCCAATGCTCGCAGGGGGCTGTGCCTACTTGTTGAGTTGGTCCGATGTCTATGTGTGTGTATCTTGTAAAGCATGTTGAGGAGAGTGACTACTGCTGAGATCCTGCTGCTGGTGGTTATGACGACGAAGCTTTCGACGCTTGACTCACGGGAGTCCTGCTGCCAAGAGTTTGCTATCTCCTGCTGATTTTGATGATTAGAATTTTGATGGTCACCGACAAAAACAATTCTGAAAATAATATAATAATTTTATTGTTTATTCTTCTCTATATACGAGAAAAAATCTTTCTCATATGTAAAAATTAAAAATATTAAAGTTTTTGGGTTTTCTAAATAAGATAACTTCTGCTTTTATTCAAGTTGACTTAATACACAGTTTTGGTAACTTTTTTATGGTTACCTAACTTTTAATTCTTTCTACGTTTGATTTTCGTCCAAACAAGTCGAGTTTGGACTCATTTGCAATAAAATCCTTAAAGTCAATAACACACACGACAGTGCCTCAGCTAAACTTAGGATAGAAAATTTATGACTTTGTATGATTAAGTCAAGGCCGTTTGCTGCCGATGCTCTGCTATTAAAACCATATCAACCCAAAATTGGTGAACACATTGCAGCACATTGTTTAATTGGGGTTAGCAATTTCAGCTAACCCCAATTAAACTAAAAGCGAAGAATTTATGATAGCACGATTTAGCCGACGTCGCTTGCGGCTGAGGCTGTACAGTTAATACTATATCAACCCAAATCGGCCATAAAGACCACGGTTAAATTTAAGGCAGAAAATCTTTGTCTTAGCACAATAAAGTCATGTTCGAGTTCAGTCATAGATTTTCCACCATAAGTTTGGCCAAGGCTCTGCAATTATTATCATATAAAGCTAAAAGTGGTTAACACATTCTACTTCTGAAATTAATGCTATATTAACCCATAATTGGTTAACATATTGTAGCGCCTCGGCTAAGCTTGTGACGGAGATTCGATGATTTAGTACGATTAAGCTGAGGTTGCTTGCGGTCAAAGTTGTACAATTAATACCATATAAACCCAAATTTGTCAATATTTTGCCCCATCTCGGCCGCAAGTGACCTCAGCTACAAGAAAACTGGTTAACACATTACAGCGCCTTGGTCGTAGGCGACCTCGATGAAACCAATTTGTCAAACAACGAAATTCATCACATTTTCGTATTTTTCTCGATATCTATGAACCTGAGAGCAAAAGTGCAAGAGAGCAATACTGTTAAAAATAAAATTTGCTACGACTTTTGTTCCAAAAGTTTTTTGTAACATGCTCCAATTCCCTAGTGTTGTCATTAACAACTTATAAAACAATGTAGTTTATCAAATTTTCATATTTTTCTCGATATCAACAACAATTTCTGACTATATTTAAATCTACCAATTGATTACGACACTTACCGAATTTTTACCATTAATTCTACCGACAATTGGCCGACATAGGTTGGTAACGCTGATTGCGGCCCAGGATCCACAATTAATACCATATCAACCCAATACTGGTCAACATGTTGTGCCATCTCGGCCGCAAACGACCTCGGCTTAACTGAAGGCAGAAAATTTATGACATCGCACGATTACACAAGGATCTTTTTTAAAATTACTCTAACAGCACATATTTGAACACTTTTACACTCTTCATCGCATTTTTTAAATAATAAAATTAGATATATTGCCGAGATACAGGAGGTGTCTGAAAATCGTAAATTTCAAAAACTCCCTGTATATCAAAAACGAAAAGGGCTATGAAAATTTGGTTTGCGCCATTGTAAGTTTCACAAAAAAGTAGCTCAGGTTCGCGAAAGCCGCAACTTTCTATCTTTCATAATAACTGAGATACCCTGCAAACCCATCGAAATTTGGACACCCTGTACTTCTGAAATTAATACTATATTAACCCATAATTGGTTAACATATTGTAGCGCCTCGGCTAAGCTTGTGACGGAGATTCGATGATTTAGTACGATTAAGCTGAGGTTGCTTGCGGTCAAAGTTGTACAATTAATACCATATAAACCCAAATTGGTCAATATTTTGCCCCATCTCGGCCGTAAGTGACCTCAGCTACAAGAAAACTGGTTAACACATTGCAGCGCCTTGGTTGTAGGCGACCTCGATGAAATCTAGAAAAACAATTTGTCAAATAACGAAATTCATCACATTTTCGTATTTTCTCGATATCTACGAACCTGAGAGCAAAAGTGCAAGAAAGTAATACTGTTAAAAATAAAATTTGCTACGACTTTTGTTCTAAAAGTTTTTTGTAACATGCTCCAATTCCCGAGTGTTGTCATTAACAACTTATAAAACAATGTAGTTTATCAAATTTTCATATTTTTCTCGATATCAACAGCAATTTCTGACTTTATATTTAAATCTACCAATTGATTACGACACTTACCGAATTTTTACCATTAATTCTACCGACATTTGGCCGACATAGGTTGGTAACACTGGTTGCGGCCCAAGGTCCACAATTAATGTTGTGCCATCTCGGCCGCAAACGACCTCGGCTTAACTTTTTTAAAATTCCTCTAACAACACATATTTGAACACTTTTACACTCTTCTTCGCATTTTTTAAATAATAAAATTAGATATATTGGTCTTTTTAGTGGCGAATATCTTGAATGAACTGTCAAATATAAGATATACAAGCACATCAATTAGCCAACAACGTCGAACTCTCGTTGAGAAAAGTAATAAGTACCGGGTTGAGTTCGCTTCGTTCTCGAAGAGTTGTAAAATCTACAAGAGAGGCAGTAAACGCAGCACGTCGTCGATTTTCTCCAATAATCCAATTCGGTTCAAACACGAAATGAACTTATTTTCAAGCTGTATAAGTAGGTACCAGTCACACGCCGTTTTCCAATTAACATTTTTATTCGTATTTCGTTTAGTACCCGATTTCTTGAATCAAATTTGTTTTAAAATTGAGACAAAAAAAAAGAATTAAATTGAAAAAATAAACGAAAAAAATCATTAAAATTAAACAAATGATCTCCATTTCGGATGTACCATTTTTTAGTTGTTCTTTTTAAAGAATAAGGGGGAAAACAAAACCGGAGAAGATCGGTTTTTGGGGGTCAGAGTCAGCGGGGGTGAGGCTTTTTTTTCTCATTCTTTCCGATGGTGGAGTATCTTGCCGCTGAGGAAAACACAATCGTATAATTTAATAAAACCGAAACACTCAGTCTATATATCCGGAGCTGACAGTTGGTCTGGACTAAGATTAATACCGGCAATTTCTGGATACCATTACGGCTAATGTACGCCATTGTATTCTTTAGCTCTCTCAGGCTATCTTTTACCATGCGTAAACAAATCCAAAAAAAAAATAAACAAAACAAAAATAAAAAAAGTAACAGAAAACGAATCAATAAACCACAATACAAAGAGACAAATACGAATAACAATAAGCAGCTTAACTTTTATCGAACCGTAAAGATCTAAATCCGAAGATTTCGTTAGGACCCTCAACCACTCGACCAAAACGATTACTCACTATTATTATTTAACACAGAAACGTGAAATGTTGAAATGGGTGTTTGTTAAAGGAACAAGTGTCCAATTATGTACATTGGGTTTTAGAAGTCCACGTGTTATTGATGCACTTACACCCCAAATTAGGTCCTCTTGTAGCCGTCGTTATCGAAACCATCTCAGAAAGGGAATTGGTTTTTGCGGTTATCACATCATTTCAATCGATTTCATCTACAGTGTGTGTATTTAGGGTATTTTTTATGATTAAGTCATTTATTTTTATTTTATCAAAGTACTTTGATAAAAATTATTTTTGAAAAACAAATTTTGATAACTATATGAAAAAAAACCGAATAATTAAAAAAAATCAAGTTGACACTGCATCTTGAACCGTTTGACAGCTAAACAGTTAAAAATGTTGTTAACGAAAGATTTTGTTTAGTCAAATCGACATTTCAAATTTCATGTTGATCCGACATGTACTTTTGGAGATATTCAGCCCGTTCCATACTTAATGAACACCTGGTATGATAAATTTCTGGAAATTGGAGCAACTGGGATGAAGTTGGGTTGCATTGAGTTGGGTTGGGTTGGGTTGAGTTAGGTTGGAATGGGTTGGCTTTAAGTATAGACGTTGGCAGGAAAGGTGGGGGAGATATCGAGGATGGGCGAAGCACTTCATCAAGGATATTAAGAAATGGCAGAAACAGGGACCTAACAGCAATATTATGCAACCCAGGCAATCTTAGGCGATGGAATATTCGGACAATACCTGAAAAAAATTAAGAAAAAAAAAACAAGTGAGTGATATTTGAATGCGCACGATTCCAGTTGCTAAGAAGGAGTGCAGAAATAAAGATAGGAAAAAGAATTAAAATATACATAAAGTATTGATAGAGACGAGAAAGGCGGGTGAGGAAGTGATGGACTATCTAACTAAAATAATGAAAGATAAGGAAAGTGGAGGAGAAACGAAGAGAAGGGGAGGAAAGAAACTTTATCCAATAAGAGTAGAAGAAGAGGTTACTCGACACGACTGATAGAGAGCGGAAGTGTGAGTGTCATGGAAAGAGGAACAACAATGAGGGGGTATCCACTTCCTTGCTAAGGTATGAAAGTATGTAAGAGTTAAAAAATTAATAAATTCTTCTGTCCACACGAACACCGAACCTCGAGAGATAAAGGAAGAACAAGTAGGCGGACCATGATGGATGGAAAGAAGAAGAGGAACAAGTTAATTCTGAAAATTAATGGATTCCTATGTCCACATGTATGCTGGAGAAAACGAGAAAACGAGTCGGCTGAGGTGAAGTCAACGTTGGGGGAAGACGCGAGTGAAGGAGTTGTGAAGACGTGAAAG